GTAACGGGAGGGTGTCAGGGTGTCCAGAGACGGGGGGCCCCCGAACTTTAGGGGCCCCCAACAAAAATGACCTTAAAAAATTTGATAGCACATTTCTGGGGAATTGAATTAATTGAATTGAATTGAATAAAAAAAACCCATTCTCTGCAAAAGGCAAAATCCGTCGAGAAATTTCCCGAAGCTGCGACGGATTTAGTACGTCGCGGCTGAGGTAAAGGACGAGATACTAGAATGAATTAATTGCAATTTCATTGGGTATGTCCGGAAAAATTTTTGGACCCCTAAAATGGTACAATGTCCGAAAATTTTTTGGCGACGGGGGGCGGGGGGGGGAGGTCGCCAAAAATAAATTGTTCCGAGAAAAATTTTTGGAGCCTATTTTTAGTGTAGCAAAGGGGTCCCAAAGCGGCCGATTGACGGAGGGCCCCCAGCGGTTGCGTTACGCCACTGAACGAATCACACAATGCAACATAAACATTTATTCGACTATATCCCGGTGCGAATATTACGATGGTTGTCCAATACTGTCGAACGTATACGGATCGTAAAGATGGTAAAACATTGAACACAATCCGTACGGTCCGTACGAACTGTAAAATGGCTTTACGGACCGTACGATCCGTACGGTTCGTGAAGATGATTTACGGATGGTGAACCTACTTTGTCGATAGCGATGTTGTGTTTAAGTCAGGGCATAAAAGTTTGTCGATCCGTACGGATCGTACGGTCCGTACGAACTGTGAAATGGCTTTACGGACCGTACGAACCGTACTGTTCGTGAAGACGAGTTCAGGGGCGCCGGAAGCAATATGAAGCGGCGGGGACAGCCATTTCAAAAGGGCAATTGCTTCTCAGCCATCATTTTTTCTGGGCGGCAATATTTTTTAAAACTTTATTATATGGATACTCGATTACTTGTGACTATTATGGGTCTGCAAACTTCGACATTAATTTTGAACAATTTTATTCGTTGATGACAATGATGATAACAATATTTAAAATCAGGTCATTTCAAAC